CGGTCCGGAGGGCAGTCGGAGTTGACGCGGCACTCGGGTCGGCAGCTTGGCGGTTCCTCGTACATGGGTGGTTTGCACGAGCAATGTGCGACTGTGCCACTAGCCCGGCATACACTGTTAGGTCCGCAAGGATTAGGGGAACACGGGTCCGTTTCTATGGCCTCTGTAAGTGCGTAAGTTATTATAAGTAATTCTTCTAGTCGTTTATTCAAAATTTAATTTATTCAAATTAACATACCTATAACTGGCCGACAAGACAGGAAGGGATCTCCTCGTAACGGAGTCGGACATTCACAAATCGCTATGTGATTGTACACATTACAAATGGCGCCTGTACCACAGGCGTTCTTACATGGATTCACACATTTGTAATTTATACACGTTAGTTGCTTATCACAGTCGGTGTCGGCTGTACATTCCGGTCGGCACTCGACGTAAGCGTTGCCGTGGTATCCCGGAATACAAGAACAAGATCCGTTGCTGCATATTGAATTAACACCACAAGGAGACCTGGCGCAAGGATCGATTGGCGGTAGTTTCTCCATTTCTGTTGGTATAAAAATAATCACTGATTGAAATATTCGTATATGATATCCATTTTTTTAAACAATAGTTAATCTTACAAACCTTTGTAAATACTGCATCCTACAAATGGATCGCCACGATAATTAGGTAGACAAGTGCAAATGGCAAGGTGGTTCATGGCGCGACAATTAGTATTAACGCCGCATGATCCGATGCAAGGATCGATACATTTCTCCTTTACACAAGCTTTATCCTTAGGACAGTCTTCGTTAATTGTACATTCAGGAGCACATGTCGGCGGTACACCGATGTAACCTAGTTTGCAACTGCATATGGCTGTACCGCCAATATCTTTGCATGTAGCGTATGGCCCACAAGGGTTAGGTTCACAAGGATTTTTGTTACCTGGTGGAGCGACGGCTTTAAGGCACACAGAGAATGGATCTCCTTCGTAACCAGCGAGACAAGTGCAGTACGGACTGTGGTGGTGTACACGACACTGTGCGTTTTCTCCACATGTACCGATGCAAGGATCTATACACTTTTGTCTGACACAAGCCTTATCAAGTGAACATTCAGGGTTTGTAATACATTCTGGACGACAATTAGGTGGATTACCAAGATAATTGGGTTGGCAAGAGCATATTGCTTTGTTATCACGAGCGTTGCAAATGCTATAAGGACCACAAGGTGATGGACTGCAAGGGTCAGAGGGAGTTTCTGGAAAAAAATAACAAAATTGTATTAAAGTATATTAACTACTTTATGGGAATTTTAATTATTTTCTCACGAATATTTTTTTTGTCTTACCTCTCATAATACGGCAACTGTCATAAGGATTACCAACAAAACCATGTATGCAAATACATTTAGGTACATGATTGACCATTTGGCATTGGGCGTTCGTGCCACATAAACCTGGACATGGGTCTTTACATTTGTTGTTGATACAGGCGAGATTATCGGAACAATCTGAATTAATGACACACTCAGGTCTACATCCTTCGTTGGGATCACCAAAATATCCAGTGATACAAATGCAGCTGGCGGCATTGTTACGTTCCTGACATATCGCATTGGGTCCGCAGGGATTCGGTGAGCATGGTTTGTCCGACTCCGATGGTAAATTCAAAGGTTTTTTAGGATAGCAACGATTAAACGGATCGCCTTCGTAGTTCCCTTCACATATACATTGCGGCGAGTGGCTAATTACTCTACATATGGCGTTAATACCACAAGCCCCGACACACGGATCTGCGCATCTGTTGTTTATACATGATTTTTCAAAGCTGCAGTCGCTGTTCGAAGCGCACTCTGGCCGGCAATAAGGTGGTGAGCCGATGTAATCGGACTCACACGAACATGACGGTGAATCTCCTACAGCTTTGCATATCGAGTTAGGGCCACAAGGTGAAGGTACACATGGAGTTTTCTTGGCTGGTATTTCATCTGTAGACAATTATAATGAGTTACATTTAGGTAAACATATTTAATGTTTCTACTTGTTGTCATATTAAAAAATAATTTCATATTCTCTAAAAATGATTTGATATAAATACCTTGGACTTTAACTGTGCATTGCGTGAAGGGGTCGCCGCTGTAACCATTCGGACAATAACAGATTGCTTTGTGGTAGTGTATCCTGCATTCTGCATTCAAGCCGCAAGTTCCTAGACAGGGGTCAATGCATTTCTGGTTTGAGCATGACTTCAGACTCGTGCAGTCGGAGTCGACCAAACACTCAGGCCTGCAGGAAGGCGGTACTCCTACGTATCCTATTAGACACGAGCACATCGCTTGTTCGTTGAATGTACGGCACGTGCTATACGGACCGCACGGTGACGGTTCGCATGGGTTACGTCGCTCCGGTTGAACTAAAAAAATATAAAATTATAAAGGGGTTCCAAATATTGAGAATTTATTTTTCAGTTGGCTATTACTTCAGTTTTTACCTGTAATAGGTGTGCAAGAGAAGAAAGCATTTCCAGTTGTATTTGGTGGACAGAAGCACATAGGTAGATGATTGTAAACTTCGCACTGCGCGCCTTGGCCGCAAAGGTTGTTGCAAGGATTGATGCATTTGTTATTAAAACAAACCCTATTAAGTGCGCAGTCAGAGTTGTGGGAACATTCGGGGCGACAACTCATGTAGGGGTTACCGAAGAAGTTCGGTTTACATGTACACATTCCATCATTACAGTCTGCGTTAGCTCCGCACGGGTTTGGATTGCATTTGTCATAGTTTTCAGGCACGTGCTCTGCAAGTAATTAAAAAATGTTTTAATTTAATACCATCCAATAATCCAAGAATTAAAAAAACATTTAACAATCAGATTACTAAACAAAAGCTTATTTAGAAAATAATAAATGAGACAGTTTACCTATAATTTCTTTGACGTAACAGCTCTGGAATGGATTACCGGTGTAACCTTCCATACAGCTGCATATAGCAGCATGCTGGTGCACCTGGCATATTGTGTTAAGGCCGCACGACCCTTGGCATGGGTCGCGGCATCGCTGGTTTATACACGCCTTTGTGCTCGGACAGTCAGAGTTCACTGTACACTCAGCTCGGCAGTTTGGCGGTGTGCCGATAAAGTTATCTATGCAAGTACACGTTGGAACCTTATTTACTGTTTGACATAAAGAATTCGGTCCGCATGGCGATGGGGTACACGGGTCTGTCTCTGGCGATGGTATATCTGTGAAAGAAATATTTCTAAATGTAAAATATGATATCGTCTTGTAAATAAAATTGTAATGATGTTTGATGTTTAACTTATACAACTTAAAGTTAAAAAAAATAACTTGTGAATAATCAACAGATTTTTTATTTACAAAGGAAATACTTAATGTTATTGGTAACTGACAATCATAATACAAAAAAACTACGTACTCAAAACAGGAGTGCATCTGACGAACGGATCTCCTTCAAATTCTCGACTGCAAGAGCAAATCGGAGCATGGTTGATAACTCGGCATTCTGCGTTTTGGCCACATGCGCCGATGCAGGGATCGATACACTTCTGGTTAACACAACTCTTGGATGAATCACATTCCGAGTTAACGATACACTCCGGTCTACAACTTGGTGGAGTGCCGAAGAACCCTGAGGCGCATGTACATGAGACTAGTCCGTTGTTACTCTTGCATACAGAATTACTGCCACATGGATTAGGTGTACATGGATTTTTGGGCGTAGGTTCTGCAAGAAATATTAAAAATAAGTTATATATTAAAAACTGCACTGAGTAATAATAGAATGATATATGTCTTTATTATTTAAACATATTTTCTAACAGTGCATAAATTAATAAAAACGGTTGAAACAACACGAGTAATCGTACCTGGTTCATTTATGACGATGTGACAATACTGGTATGGATTGCCAGTGTAGCCAGGTGCACAATTACAGGATGGCAAATGATTTATAACTTGGCAGGTCGCCGTCGTACCGCAAACACCGGGACATGGATCCTGGCATCGGTTGTTGCGGCAAGCTTTGTCGAACGGACAATCGTTATCCAAAACACATTCAGGTCTACATGATTCATAGGGATTTCCAAAGTAGCCCTCATCACAAACGCAGGCAGCGACGCCACTTCTTGAGATTTTGCAACGCGAATTCGGACCGCAAGGTGATGGGTCGCAAGGATCTGCAGGAATCATTTCGTGTACTTTTTGGACGCAAGAAATGAAAGGATCACCAGTGTAACCTTCTTCGCAAGAACACATGACGGTATGGAGACGCACAGAGCATATTGCTTGTGAACCGCATGACCCGGGACAGGGATCTTTGCATTTGTAATTTATGCAGGCCTTGTCAAACGAACAATCTTCGCTTGCGGTACATTCGCGACGACAATTCGGCGGCGATCCTTCGAACGTCGATTGACAAGCGCAAATCGGTGAATCTTTGTTCGGCGCAGGTGTACATATACTATTCGGTCCGCAAGGATTTGGTAGACAAGGATTGATGGGTGACTCTTCCACAACTAGAGCTGTAAAGAAAGGTACGATTAAAATATGAAACACGAATTTTAAAAAGCAACTTTCATTGAGAAGAGTTTACTATCAATTTATGAAATAAATAGAATATTTACCGTAGCAGTGAGTAAATGGAGATCCGGTCAATTTTGGTGGACATGTGCAAATAGGGTTGTGATTATGGACTTTGCACACAGCATTATGTCCACATGAACCAGGGCAAGGATCTTGACACTTTCTATTTATGCAGGCAAGCGATGGTGAACAGTCTGCGCTTTGGATGCACTCAGGTCTACAATTAGGTGGATTTCCAATGTAACCCGTTATACAGGCACAAACAGCTTGACCTTGTGCTTCTCTGCACACACTGTTCGGGCCACAGGGAGATGGCTCACAGGGTCTTGTTACAGGTTCTGGAAAAAATAGTTACATGAATTTAAATTTTACTCCTAAAAAAAAGGAACGAAAACAACAATGCTCAAAAGTATATATGAAACATACTCTCTATTTTGACGCATCGCGAAAACGCGTCGCCAGTCATGCCACTCGGACAACTGCAGGCGGCGACGTGATTGTAAACGTTGCATTCGGCATTCTCCCCGCACATGTCGCGACAAGGATTCTTGCATTTGTATTGGATACAAGCTTTGTCGGTCGGACAGTCGGTGCTTAAAACACACTCCGGTCGACAGCCGAAGTAAGGATCCCCATTGTAATCAGGGAGGCAAGTGCATATGCCGTTGTTACACACAGCATTGGAGCCACACGGTGATGGATGACAAGGATCAAGTTTTTCTATTACATCTAAAAAATATGGAGCTCATTAATATACAAAGGGCGAAGTTCCATACAACAAGTTTTATTACATAATATTCCGTATTACCTGGTGGTTTAATGCGGCACGCAACAAATGGATCGCCTTGATAACTAACGGGACAAGAACAGACTGGTCCGTGATTAATGACGTTGCACACAGCATCAATACCACACGAACCCTGGCATGGATTTATACACTTCATATTGATACAGGCTTTGTCGTTGCTACAGTCGGTATTTGTTACACATTCCGGTTTGCAGTTTGGTGGACTTCCAAAGTACCCGATTTGACACGTGCACGAGGGTATTCCACCAACATCGCGACATTCAGCGTTTAGTCCACACGGTGAAGGTACACACGGGTTAATAGGTTCATTTTCTTGATACTGTACTTCAATGACAGGGTAGCAGATTGAGAAAGGATCTCCGGTGTATTGAGATTTACACGAACAGATAGGGTTGTGTTTGATGACTCTGCACTCTGTATTTACCCCGCAGCCTCTTGGACATGGTGATATACATTTGAAGTTATCGCAGGCTTTATCGAGAGAACATTCGGAACTCGTTAGGCATTCCGGTCTGCAGCTGGGCGGCGACCCGAGATAACCACTTAAACAGGTGCATATCGCTAATCCATTTTTATTGCTGCATTGACTATTAGGACCACATGGTGATGGGTTACAAGGATCTGTTTTATTTTCTGTAAAAATAAAAAAAATATGTTATAAATGCGGGTTAGTTATAGACTACATTTGTAAATTGTTCAATTTACTTGACTTACCATAAATTTTAAATGTACAAATTCTATACGGATCGCCGTAGTGCTGGTCCAGGCAACTGCAACTGGGTACATGGTTGACCACGTTGCATATTGCGTTGATACCGCATGTGCCGGGACAGGGGTCGTGGCACTTGTTTTGGTAACAGGCCAGATTAGGTGGACAATCAGAATTGATTAAGCATTCTGGCTTGCAAGCCACGTAAGGATCTCCGAAATAACCGGGTTGACATGTACAGGAGCCTGCACTGTTTTGTTCCTTGCACTCGGCGTTGGTTCCACATGGAGAGGGTACACAAGGTGTTGGTCGTTCCTCTATTGAGTAAGATACTTGAATGCTGCAGTGTATGAAAGGATCTCCTGTATATCCGTTTTGACATAAGCATATAGGCGTGTGACTCACTACTCTGCATTCTGAATTGATGCCACAGGAGCCTACACATGGGTCTTTGCATTTCTTATTTATACAAGACATCGTGGAAGTGCATTCCGAGTTACTGGTACATTCAGGACGACATTGAGGCGGTGCACCAATGAAGTCTTGTAAACATTTACATTCAGCCTTTTCGCCGTTTTCATTGCATTGTGAGTTTGGTCCACAAGGTGAGGGTAGACATGGATTTATTACAACCGGCGGTGCAGCAGCTAAAAAACGAACAAAAATGACTTAAGCACGGTTGCATTTGATAGCATTTGTTAGAGGAATCAAATTTTTATAGGTTTGATTGCACGTCTTCCAATTAAATTTAAATAATAGTATCAGAAATTAAAATAAAAAAAAAACTACTTACGGATCAGTAGGCAGACTGAGAAAGGATCTCCTGAATACCCTGATAAGCAACTGCACACCGGATTGTGATTAACGACAATGCAGTGAGTGTTTCTGCCACAAGCACCAGGACAAGGGTCAATACATTTTTGATTCGAGCATGCTTCATTCAGTTTACAGTCAGAGCTGACTGTGCACTCGGGTCTACAGTTCGGTGGACTTCCCTTATAACCTTGCACGCATACACATACAGCGTGACCGTTCACTTCTCGGCACTGGCTGTATGGGCCACACGGTGAGGGGTCGCACAAGCTTACCGGTGCTGGTGTTTCTGTTGACAAAGAACAAAGGGATTTAACTTTTAATCGAAGATTTCAATATAACAGTCGACTTGACAACTGTTATGATGTAAATACTAAAATGTAAGAATGATAAATCAGGAATTAATAATTTCTTTAACAACAATATTACAAGCTAAGATGCATATTTTTGTAATGGTTCCATTGGATAGTTGCCAAGTATGATTGCTGAACAGCTGTTAAGATACATCTACATTTTTGAGATGTACACATATGTAGAACAATGTAGAATGTCGATAACATACCTATTACTTTAGTGCAATAGTACATCGGAGAACCTGTCGTTCCTGGCGGACACGAACACATTGGTATATGGTTGATAACTTCACAGAGAGCATCTGTTCCACAAGTGTCTACGCATGGATTATGACACTTATTTTTTATGCATGCCTTGTCGCGAGGACAGTCCGAGTTAAGAACACATTCGGGTTTGCATCCGATGTAGGGATCTCCGTGGTATT